ACTTATCTTTCATTCGAACGAAAATATATCAAAAAAACACTATTTTCATCATGACAAAAGTATGCCGTCCCCCTGGAATTCACATCCGAAGCTCGTTTCATGAAGTGATGTACTCACCCTCTTATGTTTTTACTTTTCCATGGTAACTGTCATCCGTGTTGAATCACTGGTCGGCATACCATACCATTCAAAGATTGACTCGATAAACCATCATTTTGATTTGCGAAACCGACACTTTGAATTGAGAAAGAAACGTTATGTTTAGAAACGCTTCCGTTCAGCGCACCTCATTGGTCAATTGATCACACGTTTTCTACGCCCGGATGGACTATCTGTCTTCCCACGCTTTTTCTGTGTTGAAATGAGGCAAACTTCAGTCTTGCATCTTGTCGAGCTCGCTGACGGACGTCGATTCGGTGGGTCGGTGAGGCCGTGCGATTTGCGCTCAGCTGTGAGCTCAACCCGACTCGATAAGAGTCAAGGGTGACACAGTGTTCCGTGCGCGTTACAGTTAGGACACGGTTGATCATAGTGACTCGAACAATGACAATAGTTTAGTTCCCAAAGGTGACTACGACAGAGACGAGTTTAGTGCATTGGCATCAATTCAGTTGCGAGCGGTCTTATTCTTCACACCACTGTGTCTCGCAACCACACTCCAATCCAGTCCCTCTTTGAAAACCAGCACAGTTGTGCTGGCCTCGGAGCACGATGAAAAAGTAAATGGAAGTAGACAAACAAAATTTATTTCAAACCACACCCCCATAGGTCTCCTATTACCGTCCAGACAAGCTACTGCTTAGAACAAAAAGGTCGTGGTTGCAAGCACATTGATGATTGATCAATCAGCAACCATCACCGCAGTACGTCATGCATGGTCCAGTGATTCTTCTATCTCCTCTTAACTGTACAATTAATCTTGTGCCCCGGTCTATCAGCTACCGTTATCCGCAGTCGTAATGACTGTGGTAAGTTTTGGGGATTGAGTTATCGTCAATGTCCCAGCAAATACGTTGATCGCGCATGATCTATGATTCAAATGATCCACTTAATGAAAAGTGCATCTCTCGGAGTACACTATAAGCACTGAACTCATCTCTGTCGTAGTCACCTTTGGGTACTAAGCTATCGTCAATGTCCGAGACACTATGACCAACCATGCCCTAGCTGAAGCGCGCACGAAACAGTGCATCGATCCAGCTTAGCTATCTCGCCCAAATCGCATGGCTTCACTGACCCACCAAATCGAAGTCCGTCGGCTAGCTCGATAAAATGCAAGACTGAGGTACGCCTCATTTCAACTCACTTACCATCCGCATCATTTCACAGCCTGATTACATCTGAGTGATCTTTACAGTTCGATGAGTGAGATGTTTGGTGGTAAGAATAACTTAATTATCCACGATTCTACAAAGGATGATAGCTTCGCACCGGTTGTTTCAAGGGATACTAAGTAGAGATAAGCACAGTATTCCAACCGCGGTTGTTTTAATATTGATCAGCGAATTTCGCCTACGTAAGGAACAGTTGCTTCCATGATGTCATTAATTCCCTTTTGATCTCTTAACTCAGGTTTATCACGGTGATACAGCGTTTTTCGGCAGCACTCAGATTGGCTGCAGTATATTTAGACAACGTGCATCATCCTCAACAAATACATTTGTAATACAATAAAACACAAGTTAGCATCTTATACAGCGTGGGCTGAAAAAAAAGGAAGCACAGTTGCTTCAACCTCGTGGGGTCTCATCAGCAGTACTAATCCATCAGCCCAATACCAATGGAACAAGGACACTGCAAAGGGGGAGTCAGGTACAAATGCAAACTCGAACACAATTGTATGTACGAATTCTTCCAAATCCAGGGGAGCATGTGGTGATTCGAATCAAATGGATTGCTTATATTTTTTTCACCCAATCATTGCTCAAATTTTCTGTGGATATTACCTATTTTGTATTGTAATCAAACAACACGCACCAGTGACCGATCAGTTGAGTTATCTACGCTGATTCAAATGTCGGTACAATTATCTTTAAGCCCCATAAATCACCATAAATTGGTTATTGGTTTTATCAAACCTGCCTACTTATGCATAGTTTAGGCTGTACTGGAGATCAATTTATTGTTCAGACAAAACACAACACTTATCTAACCATTCACAACACTTTGGCTTACCTGTACCGCGCTGGCTTTGCGAACCAAGTCACGCAAGAATGAGACCGGATCCAGTGCACCTTCTGGCCACTCGTCTAACCATGTTTTTGGTGTCTCACCGTGCAACAGGCTTTCGGCCAGTTGATGCAAGCCTGCAGTCACCAGTTGGGTTCCACGACACGCCCGTGATAAGCCTGCCAAACCATTGTGAACAGTTTGGACCAGATGAAGTGCGTTGTGCCATTCCAAACGGAGAAATTGCAGTACCGGTGGCTCGTCTTTTCCTGTATTCACGTGTGAGGTGATCTTATGGATTGAAGAACCCGATTTACGCGATCGCTTGTCATGTCCACTCTGTGAGGATTAAATTTTGGAACGTGTTGTAGCATATTTGCAGAAGGTAAAATAATCTGATTACTATAAAAGTTAGTCGATGGATATTAGATAGGTAAGAGCTTCAGCTTTATACAATGTAATTTAAGGGTAGTTTTATGCCACCCTCGCCTTCAGCATCTTTTGATACCATCTTATTTCAATCAAACATACGGATATCACAATGCTAAAGTTTGTCCACAAACAACCTACTATTATAAACGATGCAACTGTTTGTACTCGTCTCGCTGAATACAAATTAAAATCGTCCAGCTTCTACGAATTGAATAAATTATGATGTTCATCACGCAGATGGCAGCGGATAACTAACAAATGATATATTATGATTGTTAAACTCACTTGTATTATTTGATTGTTCTGGTTAAGTTTCTTCCATAACACAAGTATCGGTCCGAGTTCTTGACTCCATAAAGTCTTGTCAAAACCATTGGCATATCCGACGCTACGGCTGAGCAAGCGCAGTTGTGCAATCACCCGATTGGCTGCATTTCGCTGAGCGCTGCGATCGATATTCGCGGGGAGATTGAAATGACTTGGAAGGTCGTAGTCTGACAGTGAATCAATCAGTAATGTATAATCCTGTTGGGAAAAATAAGGCGATATTATACCAGGACCATTCAGCGGAAACCTCACTGAAATATTTAGGTTCATAGTGAAGGGTAAGGAAGAATCCATGTGTAGGATGAATAGCAACATAAGGGCCCATCCAACAGCAGTTCTTGATTTTGCTTACACTCCTGTTTGTTATCTGGACCACTTCTTAAATAATTATTGTACAATTGCTTAATATTGGGCGAGTACAAGGGGAAAATTACCATTGCTTTTATTGTCAAATTTACTACCTTTTATCGTCGTTGACATTTGCGAAACATTTGCTTGTAGCTGAACTGTGAAAAACCAGTCGGCTCATCGAGATTCGAACTCACACAAAGACATAACTTGCGCATCTAAGTAGCGTACTCCCTACGAATTAAGCTGTGACGTCATGCTGAGAGCCTTGATTTTATCAATTAAAGAACAGTATTGTCAAAGTTCAGCAAAAAGTATATGACCGATTCTATATGTACGACTGGAAAATTCGGTCGGTGGTTGCCATATTCAGATACAACTTACCGCTTGACGTAAGGGTACTTTGATCACGTATAAAAATGAATTCAGCTTATATACCTCGAAATCAAGGTCCCATGTAGCTTTAAAGACTCATTTGATTTTATCTACCAAATCATATACACGACGTATTCCGATTTGAAATTTAACCAAATCCTCCATTACTCCCAAACATCTCTGTTGGAAACTATAGAGTAAACTTCAGAGTGCATAAAGGACAAGAAAAAGTTTGTACAGAATGTAACGGTTTGGGTTATAACAATCACACAGAAACGCCCTTATCGAGTCTGGAGGAGCTAATTATAGAGAGCATGCAGAAAATTAAGCCGGTGTGCTGCCACAAATAATTTGAATGGAAGGGCCATGTGGCCTAAAGTCCATCTAAAGTCCTGAATATACANATATACATGCATTTTCCATACAAGTCACGTGATGGTATTGGCACGGCTCCGGTGAATATTTGATTGGGTGACTGAAGGAACTGACCATTACTCATAGTCAACTGAATCACATCAATCCGCCAGGAGGATAAATCGCTTTTCAAATCATCCAATCAAATCATCAATAAAGCATTAATTAACGAATCTGTCGAATTTACCCGCAATTCTGTTGTGCCAGGCAATTGTAGCGGCCCGAGGCGTAGACTATGCACTGTCTGATCGCTGAACATTTGATGCAAATATGATTGAAGTACTTGGGCATCAAACGAATTATCCATTCGACCACCGTAAATTGCTTCACCGAATAGGCCGTGAATCCAAGCCCATGCATCCTTCACACTGCCTCCCACAGACCCAGAATCAAGCATTAAACGATCGATAACATCCGCCGCAGCACGTAAATCGGCGAGAGAGAACTCGTAAAATTTGGTCCACCCCTGAATCGACCATAAGAGTGAATAAGAAAGGTAACAGAGAAAGCAGTTTTGATCATTTTGGCGTTGCAAAAATCAACGTGAATCAATTCGTGAGTTACGCATCTTGTTGATTGTGCTTACCGGGATTCCATGATGCGATCTGGCTCGTGCTAATGGCAGGTGCACTGATAGATCAAAGTAACTAGCAATAAACACTACCTCACCAAAATCAGTCAAACTCACTTCGACGGTAGTCACGCAAGTCGATTGATTCCGTAAAATTACCGACGAAATCACTGTGACAAAACTCGCACAATGAATCGATTGTACATGAAAAATGTTTCCTCACAGATAGTGCCTACTGGGTTACTTGTCCACACCTTTTGCAATTCAAGTCATCCGAGTATCTGATCAAGATGTTCGGGTATCATTTCAAGATCCACTGTTTTCAGGGGAACATGGCCTGATATGAATTTCAGGGAGAGGGAGACAAACGAATGCATACAGACGTAACGAGTACTAGTAAGGTAAACAAACAAGTGTCGTGGGTACTGGAGCGTTTGATCGATGCGAGTCTCACAGTCGTCCCCCTCCCCTTGCTTCAACAGGAGGTTGAAAAATGTGTGCTGTCTGGTGGTCATCGCTAGCGGGCTTGAACAGTACACGGACCTGACAGCACTGACAGGTCAACGGGACCGCTTGAAATCGGACCGATACAATTTCAAATGATACCCGGACTTCTTGATTTGATACTCGGACAGCTTGGATTGCAAAAGGTTTGGATTAAAATTTTCCTGGGAAACAATTTTTCACGAATGAATTTTAATGGATATGGTTGTAAAAGGAGACCTGTTCTCGTTTGAAAATCAACTTGCTCCCATTGTCTGATCTTTTGAGATCATGTTAAAGAATTAGGTTGATCCAAATGAAAAACCGAAAATTAAACGAATTTGAGATTTCAATTGTATTTACAAGCAGTGTTAGTTACGGTTCGCAACTGGATATTCCTACTTTATATGGTTCAGACTACTTATGGATAGCAGTATGGACTTATTTTGCTTAGAGTTAAATTCATGTTTCTTGCATCCTAAGTGTTCTTTTACTTGAATCTCATATATTCCACTAGTGCATCTCATGAGCTTTCCATTCAGAAATTCTCAAATGTACGGGGTCAAAATACCTATCATACGAGGGATGGGAACAATGAACTTGTGCGGGCGTACGTGTGTGTGTATGTATGTCGAACAGGTTTCGAGTAAGGGAGAGCGTGGAGTGGTGGGAGCGAGCAACTAAGTTCGGAGGTCGAAGGTTCATTGGCAAGGGAACGCAGTCGGATCGATCGATAGACCCACTGGATCAACTCAGGCGTAGTACGTCCGGTAAGAAAAGAGAAGGAATGACACAACTGAAGAGTTAATGAAGGATGGCTGGGGAAATGTGCATGCAATTCGGAGTATGACTAGGGATGATCTGTTTCGAGTACGAAACGCGTTCAACAGTTTGTGTATTCGAGTAATTTCATAATGTCATTGAAGTAAACATTTTTTAAAGGTTTGAAATACTCTGGGGGTCACATCGGGCCCCCGGTCTAATCGTTTTATAGATTACCACACAAACGTAGCTCAGGAAAGGGCACATCGCTTACTTTCGCTCATTTGTCTACCCGGCAGACTTAGCAGTGTTGTTACGAAATGTCACAGTTCCCCCGTATGTTAGTTGCTCACCTGTCTGTGAGTTGCCTGTGTTGTTTTATTATTATTGTGCAATACTGAAACCACCATTCATTCGAGTAACCGATAATCACTGCTACTTCACTGAACTTCGTCCTGCCGCCTGTGGCTGTGCTCTGACCATATTGTGCGTAAATCAGCTGAGAATAAGTTGTAGTCCGCTTCTTAAATTGTAAGGCATGACAGCACGGATAATGTTTCGCGTTGAAATTACGAAAATATTGTATTGTATTCATAGATGAGTCACAATGTGATCCCATTCTCCCCCTAGGTTACGTAGTATACAATACCCGGAACTAAAATAAACGCAGTTGGAACAATTGAAGAACTCACTTGTGGGATGTACGTGCGCCGTTCTTGAACAACAGCATGGAACCAGGCCAGGGCGGCCAGTGCGGTGCCTCGTGTTACCGAATTGCCTTGTGCCAGATACGCACGAGACCAAGATTCGTAAGTCCTTCTCAAATTACGTTTCAATCCGGGTGGGGCCTGAGTGATATTAGTATCACGAAAATCGACGAAATCAACCAATTAACAAAAAGGGCGTAATTGCATAATGTATTAACAATTTAAATGCAACTGGTTCTCTGATTTTGGATCCCTAAAACTGCAAAATTTAGATCAAGTGTTTAGCCTAATTCACTGATCTGGTAACCGTTCACTAGTCGGAGATCTTAAGTGGTTTGTCAACCCTGGTATTGTTTGAGTGATATATAATACTCTACTTATGAGTTTTATGGACTGATTAATGATACCACGGGAAGTGCTAGAGAAAGTTCGCAATCGGGAATTTGGTTCACTGACAAAAGCGCAGCAAAAGAGTCAAAGTGTGATATGCGACACGGACACTGAAACCAAACATTCAGTTATCGGTAGAACTGCTGACACTATACGATGAGAAGAATTTATGTTACTTTACTTCCGTATATTCACAAATATCTAGGAATCTTTGAGCTAACCAGGAAAAGCAGACTTTCTTAAAAGAATACAGTGCTCCATTCCAACTAATCCAATTAAATGATTTTCCAAACATGTTTGCAAACCCTTTACTCGCCAGATCCTCTCGTCAACACTACTTACTTCGTAGGCCACTTTTAAGCAAGATTGTAACAGAGCAGACGGGAAACCGGAATGAGGTTCCGTGGTCAGCCAGAGTCGAAAATCTTTATGCACGACTGGACGAGTGGCATGTTGTGCGCTCGGTACGCCATCAACTGAACCGATCACATGTTCTTCATTCGCCAGTAACAGCGTATTTACCGCTTTCTCTAATACTGGCAACCATCCAGTAACCAAATGTAAATTTTTCAAACATAGCCAATCCCCCGCTTCTGCTGCAGCGCGAAGCTCTTCCAAGGCTAAATCAGCTTGCCCTTGACCCATAGCTACTTGTCGATAGCGTCCTGATTGTGGCTCCACATTGCCACCGCCACTGGAAGTAGATTTACCGAAATGGGAAGCAGCAGCCTCAGCCAATTCTTGGGAAGGGTCCGCACCAGGGCTAATGAGCAGAAGGATAGGTTCGTTGAAACGCGTCTCCGATTCATAAAGCCGAGACAAATTGAGCGTAGATGAACCCAGTTGCGGGAGATCTACAAATGAAACCAGATTTTGAATAACCGGAACTCTGAAATTCGACAAGTGGCTAGTGGAGTTAAATTAATTGTATTTGTTGGTAGCATAAAATCAAGTTGCTCAAACCAACTATATCGTTGATCACATGCATTTACCTCGAAAGATATTGGTAGGAAAAGCTGATCATAACCATTTGTTGCTTTTGATGAATATATAATAATATATACAGAATCATAGAAATATACTACATAATAACATACATAAATAAATAAATAAAATAAATAAATATCGGGAATGGAAATGCGACCTATCGAAATCCACCTGAGAATAAAGGGATTTGAAAACAGGCAGCTACGGAGGGATTCGACGGAAACCTCACACACCGAAACGAGCTTTCCTCCACTCCTTGCTGATTTGTTCCTCGCAAAACTGGACAGAACTAAACTGAGGTCTATAATCGATAGTTTTGAACATTACTATTGATATATGGACGACATATTTTGTGTGACTGATACTAACCGTGATTTAACATCCGTGTTATTGGAAGTTAATGAGGCGCACAAAGTAGCACGTTTCACAATCGAACATGAAACGAACAATCAGCTATCCTTTTTGGATGCATCTCTTGGTCGAATGGAAGATGATCGGATCATACGAAAGGTGTACCGAAAACCGACGTGGACTGGCCAGTACACCCATTTCAACAGTTTCGTTAGCATCCAACAGAAACGAAACTTAGTCAAATGCTTGGTCACCAGGGCGAGGGCAATTAGCTCTAAGGAGTTGTTGGATGAAGAGCTGACGCTCATTAGAAACACCCTGCGTGAGAATGGATACCCGGATCGTTTTATCGAAAGAAATCTGATTGAACAAATGCCGAAAACTCCCATGCAAACTGTGAGAAAGAAAGATGTGTTCATCAGTTTGCCATTCAAAGGCGATACCGTGAGCGAAATTCTACTTCGACGACTGAACAGGAAGATTGGCAACACCTTCAACGCTGCTAAGTTACGGTGCGTGTTTCGTGGCGCTCCAATGATCCACATTCAAAACGAGGATAAACTATCTATACTGACCTCATCAATGGTTGTAAACTCTTTCAGATGCGTATGTGGCGCATCTTATGTTGGTCGAACGGCACGACAGCTATCTACCCGGATCAGAGAGTATCACCCACGCTGGTTAAGACTAGAACAGACCGGAACAATAAACAGCTCCATCCTAGTCCATTTAGTCGACACCGGACATCAAGTAAATCCGGATGTCGCCTTCAGAGTTGTTTATCGTGTCCCCCACACCAAGTGCAAGGGTGTTCAACTGCGTACTCTAGCAATAGCCGAAGCGATCGGGATAAGAAAGTTGACCCCTGACCTCTGCGCCCAAAAGCGTTTGGTTCAGCCACTCCGACTTCCATAACCCGTGATCGATCGGTCCCGAGTGTGTCCGTCGTCCGCTAACCCAGATGCCGTAACTTAGTTAAACCAATCAAATGACAAATGCCGGTTGACTATGACAAACTCTTACTCATGATTGGTGATGTGTATAACTGTGTGATCTGTTTTCTAATGTTACCTATGTAATCTGTAGACGGCTTCAGAACGAATTACTGAAAAACAATTGTTTCGCCAAACTGTTTGTTCTTTCCTTTATCGTTTTAGTAAACGTTACACAAGTAACAATAGGTGTCTGGCAGGAAAAGTAGTGAATTCCAATATAATTTGGAGAGCTTTATAAAGAATAACGATCATCTTCTGATTCACAGCTGAGCATGAAGTTCACATTACAACATCTTTATCACCACCTATGCGAACAGGCAGTGCAAAGCGTGATTAAAAATGAAAAGAGTTGTGGCAGCAATAAACCAGCAAATTCTAGAACTCATCATGTGTCAGTGAGGATTGAGTGGTCGGGGATGGGTGTCTAGGATTTCGGCTGGTTACCTTCCCCGGGGCATCTCGCGAAATGCTCCCATACTACCAAGCGTCTCAAATTGCCTATGCTGAGGAAGCCCTACAAACTAACTTCTCACGGCAGATGTGTTTTCCACAGAGGTGAGAAGACTAAAAGCCGACATCCGGGGCTATAACCGGGTTGGTGGACCACTGGTAGTTCACCTAGGGGAGTGGGCCAAAAACGCTGGTTCCAAACCAACAAGGTGCACGAACCGCACACACAACTTCCTGATTTTGGTAGTGGTAACTGACTCGATTGGTCATCGAGGACACCTGGGATGCTTAACTCCGTCCAAATGGCGTATGATCCGATGGACTGGACACCGGCTGTCAATGGATTGTGGTTTTCGCACACCGCCCCCCCCCCTGCCTTGCGGGTCAGGCTTTGGCTAGCCAAAGGCTCCGGTTGTGGATTCCTCAAGAAAAATCACCTGCCTTGGCCTGGGCAACCTGACAGTATACCGCCCACATGCAAATCGTTTTTATAAAGATTATCGTACGGTGATTCGTTTGGGATGCAGTCTGGCCTCAGACTTGTGTGAAAATAATAATAATAATAATAATAATAATAAAAATATACAAATTACGTCATTTTAGGTACTTCGGTATCTATGCTTGAAATAGCCCGGATCATAGGTCAATTTCATTGTCCCAGTATTTCATGAACGATGAACGCATTAGTCATCTCTTAATGAATAATTCACCCCGCGCACAAATATGTTCATGCTTCAAAACAAAAAGCGAAAAAAGATTTTGCTGTTCATTTTGATGTCATGGCTGATTGGAGTGNATTCAACGCAGTGTGAAGCCGATCCGGGCGTAAGGCCTGAACGACTAGCACGCTCAGATGAAACGGTGTAAGCAGACCTTGTTGTTGTGATTGGTACAGAGCGGTTGGGGCTGCGGACAGCTCCACTTCGTTCTGACTGATCCAATTACTCCAGACACGAGCGTCATCCAAACGCAATGTCGTATACAGCTGCGGCAAGGCGGTCTGTAACGGAACGACAACAACAACAAGAATAACCGAAAACTACTACTCAAAACTTTGTTTATTTTTCTTGGAGCAGGAATGGAATACGAATAGTGCAAAAAATGATTTCATTTTGAACAGAAGTGAATTCAAATGAAGTTAGGACATTGCATCTAAATAGCACATGAGCATCGAATTGGGTAAAAGGTTGACCAAATGAATATACAGTTCACTAATAAACCTACCTTTAACCGCATCACATCGCGGACACGTTCTGGATCTAGCCACTGAGGAGTAGAAGTATCAAGGGTAGGCTCTGCCACACTCAATCCCGTGAAGAACGCCCATTCCTGTAAATGTATTGCATGAGCAAATGTTACAAATGACGCGAGAATAATGACAGAACAGAAATGTGCATATTGATGTGGCAAACAGTGTCAATTGATCGTAATGTAACTCGATCAAGGTTGTCACTGACTGCGGCAGCATTCAGTTAATGTACAGCAGAGAAGTTCAAAGTTGGATAACACTACGTAGAACTTTCGTTCGAAAAATCTACTGGAGTCGACCGTTGTCAGTACATACTATCCGGGAGTTGCACAACCAGTCAAGCCGTTCAGGAGACTCAGTGGTAAATTGCACAGTATTCCTCAGGTTTTGTATGCACACAACGTTTCTTTTATTACGAAAGTAGGTGTTGAGAAAAATCAATGAAAAGATAACGGTTATTCATCCATTGTTCTTATACGTGTTCTGGCTTGCTCCATACTAAGTTTTGCCTACAAATGAAATATGTTGCTATTGTTTATGCATCAGTTGGTTTTCTATCAGACCAGTTGAATGTCTATCATGTGATTGGCTCAGATCTCAACCAAGCCCCTGTTCTCACATGTACCAATCCGTCATGTTTATCGTTTCTGGAAGAAAGGTGGTCACAAGGCGTGAATCGAAATGGGTTTTGTGATTTATCCAGTTACAAAACCACAATCAGTATCAGCTATCTTCAAGAACTATGAAATCATATGACTTTTAGTCGGCTTCCTGCATGGCCTAAACGGGAGGGCAACTGCTGGAACCATGAAGAGGTTTATAGTTCTAGTAAACTTGAATGGCAAAAGTTCACTTTTAATCAATCTGATCATCAAGAGTAAAACAAATGTCGATAGGTGAGCAGTTCTGAAGAGGGAATTCTTTTTTTAATTCTAAATGTTCAGTGGTAAAATATGATTCAAATCCAGGCTTACCTCGTCAGTAATCGCTTTTGGTCGTAAACAGTGAGCCATGTGTAATGTAAACATGAGACGGTCAACCTTGAATAAAGACTGAGAGACGTGCTCATATACCAATGCTTCCAGGCGTTTTTGAAGGAAACTCATGCGTTCCGGAGCGGGCAAGCTAGGATCCTTTGTGCAGTTAAGACCAAATGAAGCGAAGCAGAAGGAAGGACATATTTTAAGAAGATTTGGGATAATTCCTTCAAAGAAGGATAAACAGGCATATCGGAGAAAAAATGCCATCTCTCGAGCGTTTCCGTCACTCACCAAACAAATGGTCGACAAACATAAATTAAATACTTAGAAATACTTTTGTCATGATTGCCACTTAAACATTTTAAAGTTTACGCCACTGATCAGTGAATACATGGTGCATTTAAATTCAAGTTTGAGCATAATTAGTGAACAAGATCACAGTGATTCTCTATTTAGCGAAGTGGTGTTCAATTAATAACATTCAGATGGAATGATAAAGGTTTGCCGTAAAGGGGAAAAGGAGCACATTCTGCATTAACGATTAACTGTTTTCATCGTGAGTGACATTGGAATCAACGTAGGGAATCGCGATGATCCCCTTAAGAGTAGAGGATCATGTACTTGACATTGATAGGTTAACAACTAGGGAAATCGTGGAAACAAAGAAGTTAATTTGAATTTACTGATTTCACACTCAGAAAGTTTGGAATTGAATGCAAAATGGAAGGATAACAACAGCAAGGGAATTCCATAGAATTAGAAGAGCTAGACTCTTACCAAAAGAATATTGTGACGTGGAGAAAAGCGCCCATGGCAATCTGTGCAATCAGTTCAAGTGATTTGTCGCGGAAATATACGGAGACGAACATGTTATGTCGCACAAGTAAAATCACGGGATGATAGTTGTTTGTCTAATAGCATTCGCGGTGGAATTAGCTCTGTTTAGTGGTGGTAATCGGAACACAGATTGCAAAACAAACGTCAAATTGCAGAATTTAAGAAACGCAAATGGATCGCCTCTTCTCATTTTCATCAAAATGCAACCCATGGTTGATCCAACCAACTCACATGTGGAGCTTCCATGGCTCGTTGGAACAAGTACAGAAAACTCTTCAGACTGAACTGATACATCCAGTTGATCTTCACAATGTCCGTCAGTGCAAAATAAACCCGACTCCCAGCCTCCGCTAATGGGTAGAATACATTCCGCTCCTGATTTGAAAAAATGAAAGAATGTGATGCGCATGACAACAGTGCATGGTAAATAAATGAAATTATGATTCGTACCTAAATATAAAGCGATCAGATGTTCATGTCATATCAGATTATTGTGATAGGCTGATTTCACTTGTGTACAAAGCAAAGTTATTAGTCTCGCATACAGAGAGATAAGTCAATAGATCTTGTTTAGGGTGAACATAGATCCATAAATCTCGGTTCGCATCACAAAGCAATACAAGGAACATGCGAAAAATGAAGAACGGCTAAGAGAACCAACCTTGTCCAACTCAGACTGCAAACGAGCGGATTCGGCCAGTGAATCTGCAATGGTCAGGCTCGATTGTTTTGTCCTGTTCAAGGATTGCAAAAGCTCTTTATTTTCTAGTATATTGCCACGTGCGTTGGCTAGTTCCTGGATGGAATAATTGAAAGAAAACTTGATAGGGATGCAATGGTGGTGGTGGTGGTAGCAGTAGTAGTAGTTGACAGGCCGAAGCCGCTCTCTTTAACGCAGTGGTTCATAATAATTTCATCTTCAAACTCTGTCACACGCATACTTTTTTGGTGATAAGCCAAGTCTCGGTTTTCAGTTTAAGTAATATACTTAACTTTGATGAATGAGACTAAAGGTACCGGAGTTCAGAGTGCCATTCATCTGTCTATATGATGTTAGTAGAGGAGGAGACGTTTACTGCAAATAACACTTGATCATGAAAAGTAGCACTGTTGCTAGTTATACGAAACAGTGAATGTTCGCAAACAATAATGATTATACTTCAATTCATGAATCATTCTGGTCGATAATTAAAGCATTTTTATTAAATTAACCGAAAAACTCTATCAGAAAGTGCAAATTTCCCAAATGATCTTAGTAACATCCTGGTGAGATATCCAGTACATAGAGACCGACTATACCTTTTCAACTTCAAGTAATTCCGTTGTAACTTTAAGTGAATCCAACCAAAGTCAAAGTCAGAGTTTTATTATGGGCGATTTACAAAGCTAAAGCTTATCATGCCCCATAGGATTTTTACAGAATGTTTTGAATAAATTCACAAAGAGAAAATAACAATGATAATAATGTGCGTGATCACTTACGGATGTTGAAGTTTTAAGTGTTCCAATGCGTTGTCAAGTTGCGATTTAAATAGTTCAACTGTAGGAGCACACTACATCAGATGGGACAGAATTCCATGC